GTGAAGAGAGATGAAACTAATAAATTAACTGTTTATTCTTAAATTTTGAAGGGCTTTTTTTGTTTTTTTTGGGGGAAAAACAGGTTTGGGTAAATATTAAAGAGAAAAGGTTGGTTATTTTTTTTAAGAAACTGTCAAAAGAAAGACTTACAGGGGCTACAAATTTGTAATTAGAGCCTTTTTATGCAATCTGTGTCAGAACAATGAGATTTCTTAAAAAACACAAGGGAAAAAGTAATTTTGGTAATTTTCCCTCTATTTAGTTGATTGTAATAGTCAAAAAACTGACATAAATGCCTGAAAAACTCTCGAACACCTTTATCATTCATAAAAAATCTCAAGTATAATTAAAGTCAATATTCACAAGTGTAATGTCAGTAAAAAAATAAATTTAAACTTATATAAGCTAAAAAAACGTGTTCCTCAAATGTGTGCAAAGCACTCCGGCGTTAATAACATTTAAATCTCATTGAAAAACTTGCTTTTTTAAGCAACTTCAATTAGCAATAATGAAACAAAACATTGTTTTATGGAGGGCAGATATGCATATCTTATTCGTAACCCTTTGTAATCTACAGAAATTCTAAGGTTTACTTTCTTTGAGTACCTAACAGGTGCCCACACTAACTGAAAAAGGTTTAGTTCCGAGAAATGTGGATGTTAAACACCTCAAAAGAGTACTGAATTTACTCAATATATAAGACTGATTATTTCAAAACATCTCATTAAAAAAAATAGAGAGTCTACTTATATTTGCAGATCAAGCCTAGCAAGAGAATCTGTTTTTGCAAAAGATCGAAAAGAAAAAATTCATATTGATAGTTGTACTCTTCATTCTACACTCTAACCACAGAGATGGAGTGATTTTAAAAGGAAATCATCTTACGCAAAAAAATTTTCAAATAATGGTAACTTGGTTTGCTCCTGCACCAATGCCAAGAAAGTAAAACCTTAAGAATTTCTGGTAGATTACAAAGAGGGTCGCAGTTTACAACTGATTATGAGGCATTTATAAACAATGGCAAAAAATGATGTGACAAAAAATTGCACATTCTCATCACCAAACACATTTTTTAGCTTATTAAACAAATTGTTTTTATTCTGACCTTCTAATAAGAATTAATTTTTTTTAAATCTCAGGAAACCTTTCAAAAATTAGGAGGTTTTCTTTTAATTCAGTTGCTAAATTTTATTTTTATTATAAATTTGGGTAAATACAGATCACAAAATAATCTTTACTCCCGCTACAGACAAAGAAACAACAAAAAGCAAGGACAAATTGGATTACGACCTTATTACTTACCAACTGAGATAATACATATTTCACATCTCAAATGAATCTTCACTAAACCAAAATAGATCTGGTTCCTCATAATACCGAAACATTCCAATTTTTGGGTCAAGAATCTCGCGCAATAATAACATAAAAAACTCTTTTCGAACACGCCTCCTGCATCCTCAGCCTCTTCACAAGCACGTTATCTTATTGAAATTTAGAAATTAAATTAATTGAGAAAAACATACTTGGGCAGATAATTTATAAGTAATGAAAACCGTATTATTATTTGAAAATAACAAGTATTTAAGTTAGTTTTCGCAGTAACCCACAAGGTCGTAAAACAATGATATATAATGATATACAAAGCTTACATGTTTTTATACATGATACATTTATGTTAATGCGATACAAGAGAAAATAATCATATGTTCGAAAATGTTCACAAAGGTGTGTGTTGTGCATGCCACACGTGGTGTATACAAACACATCACACGCACGCATCTAATTTCCTCACCTGCTACTATTGCCGAGAGAATAGTGCAACAAATATCTTGTCACAGAACTAACGAATCAACAAGTTAACATCTTTCTACGCAGTAGTTTTAGTTGCTATTGAAAGAACCTCACCCACAGTTTAAATATCAAAAGGAGAAGGGTTGAAGAAAGTCACTTTGAATTGTAGGTCCCTTATTCTGAAAAGAATAACTCATATTCCTATATGAAACAAATTCCATGTTCTGTGGGTACTTTATACCGAAACATTGGTTGATGGAAAACATCTATCCATTGTCACTGTGAACAATAGTAGTGGCTTAAACCGTAAGAAGATTTTCATCAAAATTGATAGTCCCAGTCCGATCTGGATATGTCACAGCCCCTTGAATTTGAAAAACCGATGTATAATTTTTGGGGGTACGTTATGTAAGCCTTAAGGACATTTTCAACTGTTCTCTCAAAAATTGTTCAAATTTTGGTCTTCCCTTCAGAAATTCGGAATTACTGTGCAAATCCGATCCGAATTACTCGTGTCCGATTGCTGTTGCTTACTGAAAGACAACCAAGAAGCTCTCTCTCTCTTGTCTGTCTGTCTTCTGTCTGTCTGTCCTCTGTCTGTCTGTCTCTCTGTCTGTCTGTCTCTCTGTCTGTCTGTCTCTCTGTCTCTCTGTCTCTCTGTCTCCTCTGTCTCTCTGTCTCTCTCTTGGTCTGTCTCTGTCTGTCTGTCTCTCTGTCTGTCTGTCCTGTCTCTGTCTGTCGTCTGTCTGTCTCTCTGTCTGCTGTCTGTCTCTCTGTCTGTCTGTTGTCCTCTGCTCTGTCTGTCTGTCTGTCTCTCTGTCTGTCTGTCTGTCTCTCTGTCTGTCTGTCTGTCTCTCTGTCCTGTCTGTCTGTTCTCTGTCTGTCTGTCTGTCTCTTCTCGTCTGTCTGTCTGTCTCTCTGTCTGGTCCTGTCTGTCTCTCTGTCGTCCTGGTTGTTTCTCTCGTCTGTCTGTCTGTCTCTCTGTCTGTCTGTTCTGTCTGCTCTGTCTGTCTGTCTGTCTCTCTGTCTGTCTGTCTGTCTTCTGTTGTTCTGGTCTGTCTCTCTGTCTGTTGTCTGTCTCTCTGTCTGTTCTGTCCGTCTCTCTGTCTGCCTGTCTGTCTCCTGTCTGCCTGTCTGTCCTCTCTGTCTGCCTGTCTGTCTCTCCGTGTCTGTCTGTCTCTCCGTGTCTGTCTGTCTCTCCGTGTCTGTCTGTCTCTCTCGTGTCTGTCTGTCTCTCCGTGTCTGTCTGTCCTCTCCGTGTTGGTCCTGTCTTGTGTGTGTGTGTTTGGGGCTTTTCCAAACCACGAAACATCTAACAAAATAACGATTGCTTCTCTCTTCTCCCCCTGCACACATGAATGTGTATGAAGGCAAGTGCAGAAAAAATAGCATCCTGCTGCAGAGGGGAAAATCTCTTGGATCTTCAGATGTCCGCAAATCAAAGAGAAAGGATATCACATACATATGACATAAAATATTGAAGAGTTAAACAATTGTCTGCTGCCTGAATGAGGACTCCCTGGAATTTAAGATAATATGAAGCTCCTCGTCAGAGATATAAGCTGCTATTCATACTTGTAATATACATAATACCTGTTTTCAAAGGAAAGTTCCTTTTGATCATCTTACCTTCAAAGGCTTTTTCAGATCATTTTTATCATATTTACTAAGTTCCCGAACTGTGTCTGCAACTATATTTTCTCTGCTTACAGTCAACTCAAGGAAAGCACTAACAGGACCAGCATATGGTGCAAATAGAATGTTGCGAAGAGCCTGAGAAGCAGCTTGATTCATCGCAGATTGCATCTGATCAACAGGAAAAGGACAAATAATTACTTAAAATATTTAAAAAAAGAAAGATCAAAAACGTTCACATGCTGGTATGTAAGCAAATGTAGAATGTGTGTATAAAAATCAATGCCATTATTTCTCTCTAATATTTTTTCTAACATGCAAATATTCTTGAATTAACAGAAAATAACACAACGTTTTCCTCCAAAAATTACAGAAAATAACACCTAATCCTCCATTCATTAGAAAGTGTTTCTACTCCAATAATTCACAATTAATTCCACAAACCTGTAATGACTGGTCAGTCTGCAGAATCAAAGTTTTTGCCTGGGCATCAAAAAGAAATGGGTAACTACAAAAATAGATGTTAGAGCTCTGGAAATAAAAAAAAACAACAAATTGTGAAGTGAATACTCAATATTTCATTACGTCAAAATTAACTGCATCTTTTCTCCCACAGTTAAAATAAAATCTAATCTCACAAAATTATGTAGATTAATGGGTGGTGGGAATAAAAACAGTATGTACTTCAATCCTGAAATTGTAAAAAACAATTCACTACAATCAAAAGCATTTATTTAATTTGGCATAAAAAACCTTATACTTTCACTAGGAAGTAAATGTTGCAGAAATAAGAGCAAAGCTGCGAAGTACTGCTAAAGCTTGTTGGAGAATGCCAGGGAAATAGTACATATTCATCTTATGGGTATGGATATGCAACAAGGTTTATTGTGTGCAGTATCGCATCAGATTTGCTAAATGAAAAAAAATTGAATTTTTCCACTGAAAGTGACGGGAAATACAATTTGTAAAAGTTATTGAAATCTCGACACAACATTAAACAAGTTGCTGAAGATTCAGTTTTTCACAAACCAGCTCAGATTAAGAATAGCGAAGTAGGATGCAGTTTTCTTTCCGCATTTAATACTGCAAAGCCGTATCTTGTTTCAATCTAAATTGCAATGTTAAATACTTTTTAATATCCACAATATTATAATCAGAATAAATTATAAATTTTTATTGAAGATAACTTGCTTTACTTCTTTTCTCCACTGCTTTTTGCAATTGTTTTGATGGCCACTCCAAGTCCTTACTAAATGAAAACAATTCCTGCTAATCAGTTTCTGGTGTAACATCGCAAGCACAGTAGTTTTATGGTATTCTTAATTCAAAAATACAACAGCAATTATTATTATCAGATGATTATTTTGTTCATATAAGCTCAGAGCAAGTTCTTACTATAAATAGTACTTACAACAAGTAAAAGTTTCATTAACCGAAACAAATATTTTCTATAATAGCTTCTAGTATAAGCATTTACTTATTTTATTCACAAGACCCAATGATTCAAAACAAAACAAAAACTTACCTGAGTAGGTCTTTGTATGCTCTCTGATAACCAATGGACATAGTCCACACGTATGTCAATCTTTTCAGTTAATTCAGGCAGACAAAAAGTTTCATAAGGCACTTTAAGATCAATATTATTTAGCTTATGTAAATGCCCTAAAATTTCCAATGGTACAAATAAGTTTGGATTCTGACGATCACTACGGGCCTGAAATAAAATATGTAATAAACAACACATCTTAAAATCAATAACAATGAAATCAAGACAAAAAGTAACAAGTTAATAAAATATTATTACAGATACCCTGTTGATTTCTCTATCTTTATCACAATGCCAGAGAAGATATACCACTACATCTTTAAATATTCGAATCAGCCGTTCAAAATAATCAATAGGTGCTTTTCTCCACCACAACCCTAAAAATACAAAACACTTTTCAAACGAACAAGGCCTCACTTTGTTTTCTATAATCGCACTTTATCTAATTTTGAAATACATACCAACAATTCTTGCAGCTTCACTTTTCAAAGCAAGTACAGCTCTACCAAAAGGATTATGTAAAATCTCATAGTTTCTTGGGTTTTCGAACTCTATGTAAAATGGTAGAGTCATATACACTCTTAATGTTTCCACATCTGGAGGAGATGGAGACAAAGAAGGAAGTAAATGTTCCTTCACACAACTGAATATCTGCAAAACAGTAACTCTCAAACTAAAATATACAAATGTTGAAATAAACATTAGATTAAGCTAAATTACTTGATTGTATGAAAAACAAAATTTCAGCACCATGAATTGCAACAGGTTATAAATATATTCCTGGGACAAATGCGTAAATAAATAAATAAATAAATGTACTTGGATCAACATGCATAAAAATTTTAAAGATACCTGTAGAGATTCTGACCTATCTATAATTCTCACAAGTCATCAAAAAAACAAATAAAAATAAAAACAAAAGAGAAAATTAAATCACTGCACTTCTTTATTTCAGAGTTAACTTGGCCAACACTAAATATGTTACTGACTATACATGTTATTGACTTTGTTAGTCAATAATTCCCCAATGCTAAACATTAAAAGTTCCTTTATTCTGAAAGTCAAGCAAGAATACTCTAAATAACCTGAAAATTTAGTTCTTACCAGGTCCTTAATTGAGCTGTTCTCCACTTTTCCCAAAGAAGAGAAACACTGTTCAGCAGTAGAAAGATTTATTCCGTGATGTCGTGAAGTACAACAATAATGTTCATCATTATCAAGAAGAAATGAGCTGTTGATACATGCTTGACTACTGAATACTGTTTCAATATATCTACCAAACAGAAAAGAATATTTGCAAGGTTTCAAGAGCTATATGCAAAAATTGATCAGTGGGATATACAAAAATCTGACACGTGAAAGGATGAATTCACATTCAAACAATCCTCCCTCCCTAAAACCATGAAGCGCATAATGTCACATCAAATATCTTTGTCTAAACAAACATATTTAGAACATTGTGTTACATTTTTTGCTGCAACTAATTTGGTAAAAACTCAAATAAAATTAAATGGCAATTAAAATAATTTTTCCACCACTAAACAAGACAATAATACAGCATATTCTCAAAGAAGTTCTGCTACATTCTGTCAATCTGAATCTCTTGACTCGTAACTTATCAACCTTGGCACACTTGAGACCGTGTCAGTTTGAAATGGATATTTTGATTTTTGAGGGTACTTTTCATGAAGCCTCAACATTTTCAAAATTTTTTCATAATTTAAAATAGTTTTTAATTTTGTTTCAGATAGAGCAAAGGATATAAAAAAATGGGGTAGGTCTCTCTTTCATTGATCAAAGATTTCCAAATTTCAGAAATTACAAAATTTTTGCTTTCCTTTTCCTACGATGTTTAATACAGAGATTTTTCTCAGTAATGAAGTCTATTCTTCAAAAACAGGTCATTAAGGGGGTAGGGGTTTAAAGTATTAAAGGACAGTAAAAAACAGCGCTAGTATCATTTCCGGCAAATACACTGTATTTTTGAAAATTGCAAAAGGTTAATATTACAGAACTACAATATTAATGATTTTTTTCTGAATGGAATCTATCCTAAATAATGAATCTTTAAATAAGGTGAAATTCAATTCTTTGAAAAAAATAGGTACTTTTGATTTTTGCTTCAAGTGAAGTGAATTTATAATGCTCTAAAAAGAGCTTTAAATTATTCCCTTGGATAGAGCAAAGGATCCTAAAAATATGCATATCTCCAGTTCTCAGTGAACACTGTATTTTCAAAAATTTTCAAAAATTAACATTGTAAAACTACATTGATGATAAGAGTTCTTTTTTCTTAATGAAATATGTTCTTCAACACTACATCTGGAAATAATGTAAAACCATATCGACAAGCTGGCCAAATTGAGACTTTGTGACTCAATTCTTTCTTGGATTAAATCTTGCTTGAGAATCAGAAAACTGTGAGCATGTACAGCATTGTGAAAAATGCTCTGAGAACATGGGGTTCTTACCTTCTAATAAATCACAATTTCATTCAGTCAACACAATCATACTACTTTTCAACATTTTAGTTAGACCTACCTTACAATTGTCTGGGCCCCTTACAATAAAAAAATCAATTGACCAACTAGAAAGTGTCCAGAACAATCTTGCTTATTGGAATAACTCATCCAAAGATTACAACATGAATACTCTGATCGTTATAAATTGTTTAACACTTTACATCTTAGCAACAGAAGAATTATATACAACCTTATTTTCTTGAATAAAATTGTATCCAGTGATATCAACTGTGATTTTTTACAACTTACAACTCTTGATTCTGCAAAAAACTACTAGAAACACTCAGACTTACTTTGTAGAATGTAAAACTGATTATGGTGGGAACGACACACTCAACAAACTACTATCTTTAGCTAACAAGAACTGAAACATAAGACTTTTAAAAACTTCTACTTCATGCTGTACAAAACTTGTAAATAATATTGTATTTGTTCAGTAATCTGCATTGTAATGACTGTATTAAAGGAATATCATGTAAAAAAAAAAAGAAAGAAAAATAATACGTTAAACTTTTTTATGAAGTATCCGAAAGATTGAGTATTACAGTGTGGCTGGTAATGTATGGGTAAGTTGACTGGCTTGCTCACTCTAAGAACCTGCGTGTATTATTATAATTTTGCGTACCTATTTAAAGTAATAAGAGAAAGTATGTGCTGTTTTATCTCCCCTAGACTGTTTCATCTTGGGCAAACAAGTGTGTTTCATTTTCACAAATCTTACTTAATTAAATTACTTCAATTCAGGAAACCATTTTGACTCCATTCATTCTAAACCAAATTCTAGCCTCTTAGAATTATATTAAAGGCTGCTTGTATATAAAAAAATATAAAATAAAATTAAATTAATTTAATACAACTTATCAATCTCTTCGAATGAACATACGTCATAAAATCCTGGTCCACACTTTCATTGGGTGGCAATCTTGCACATTTATTGGCATCTGACACAGTAAAAATTAAGATTTGTGTTTTAGGAACAAATTCTCTGCAATCATCAGGGTTCACATGATCCTGAAAACAAAGCACTTCTAAATATAGTAATAATTTTGGTGGAAAACAACAAAAATTATTCATCCAGATCAATTATATGCAGTGGCATAGCTAGAGCCTGTGCCGCACAGAGTGCTTATCCACTTCAATCTCTCTAAAAATAAAAGAAAAAATTACTAGAACACAGGAGGAATAAAATTCTACCCCTCAAAATGTTTCATCTGGGTGGGTGGCTGGCTAGATGGATAGAAGGTACCCACACCCCTTAGCCTTCCCTTTAGCCATGCCACTGATTACTATTCGTATATGGCAAGAGGAAAGTTGTCCCATGCAAAACTAATAATACATTTATAAACGGCTACATTTATAAACAGTGTGCTACAACTGTCCAATCACGAAGGTATCTCTGGCTTTCTATCTGCCAATTTAACCTAGCTTGGTTACTTCTAATCTAACTCAAAAAGATAAATCATTCTTGAATTTAGAGTTGTATAACTCCAAATAATGAACCATTTCCTCAGTACTTTAAATTTTCTTTCTGTCAACAGAAAAGGAAAACTTTAATAGGATTTTTCATACCTAATAAATGTACAAAACGTTAAAAAAAGCCTGATATATCATACTTTCTATAAAAGGAATTGCATTTGAATAATACTGGACTTGGGTTAATTTCTTTCCATTACCAACTACATGTACTTCTAGCACCAGGTTTAATGTGTAGTCATAATTGCTTCATTGTTGACGAGATAAATTTTGAGTTAAATTTAAAACATCACTCATCCAGGTTTTAATTCTCTGGCAACAGACATCCATTTTCAGTGCCCTAGCACAGTGGTTAGCAAACTGTGCCCCAGAGCACAGATCATGGCTGGTGCATCATCTTTGTTTTTTTCTAAACTTATATATATTCTCCCCAAAGATTACGTTTGATAGTTGCAAATGTGAAAACATTGTTGCAAGTGGCATAGAGTGACCTTTGTTGAAGAAAGAAGTGAAGAACTTGAACTAAACTAGTGGCACTACAACAGCATGTACAGATGTACAGCTACTTAAATACCACCATTTCTGTATATCACATCTCAGCCACTTCTTTTAAAACTCATTACTAATTGTAGTGCATTAAGTGTGAAAATTTAATTAATTTGAAAGAAATACATCAACAAATCTGACAATCCACAATTCCGTGCACCCAGAAATACTGTCCAATGTCAAGTTATTTTAAGAATTTTAAACTGCCAGGTTGCAGTATACCCATTGCTGTATTGTAAAGTAACTTGTAAAAGATTCTAGCAATAGAAGCACAGGAAATTCAAATTTGCAAATTAAAAAATAAAACTTGTTTAAAAAAATTGTACAAGACCTTTTTTAAAGAACTGATTAATTTAGAAATGATTTCATTTAACAAAAAAGTTTCTATCATCGAAATTGTAATTTTGCAACGTTCATTTTTTGTTTGCAATTTTCAAAAATACATAGTTTGCCAAAAATGGAACCAGCACCACTTTCTTTACCATTCTTTGCTACATATAAGAAAAAAATTGGAACCATTTTTGAGAAAATAATTGTTTAAAATTACCGGTTTCACACAAAATTATGTAAAAACTACCATATTTTCAAGAAATTGAACATGACCTTATTTCAAGATCTGGTTTTGATGACCAGGTGTCATTAAGGAAGAAATGTCTATTTTCGATACTTTGTAGGTAGATAGTGAAAAAATTTTGAACTTCTGCAGTTTTCAAAAATTTAGAGAAACAGAGAAAATATTTAAAGAAAAGATCTGGAATTAATTTTGAGAAAATTTGAAAAATGTTGAGGCTACATATAGAGTACCTGCAAAAATTAAAATATCTATTTCTTATACATGGTGCGGTGACATTGTTCAGATCGTTCGGGTGTATCAATTTTCGTGAAATTCAGACGGACAGATGTTTTGCTGTAATTTCTTTGGTATCAAGGATCCACCAAATGTGGATTCTAACCGCAAATGTTAGAGGAAGTAATTTACTTCATATAAGAACCGAATTTATCATCTATTTCATTACCAATGCCTTGCAGTAAGAGTTTTTCTGCAGTCTGGGGAGTTCAAGTGTGCATTACACAGGGGTGAATGGGTATTCAACTGACTCAAAATTAGTGTTATGTAATTTATGAATTGCTTCATACGGAGTTAAATGAAGACAAGAACTTGCTTGAAGTTGAGTAATGGTAAGTATACCTCATTACATTCTTGTATATAAAAATAGAGGAAGTTGTGTAAACATGCTGATTTTTCCACAGAAATGTTTTTTTGTTGGTCCCTCATACCAGATAGCTTTCCAAGAATCTATTTTACATATGAAAATTGTGTGGGAAGTGTGCATAAGTATAATTTGTACAACCAAAAGTTAGTGAAAACTCATTCCTAAAGAAATACCGATCTCTTTTAAAACTAGCCAAGAAAGTACCAGTTCCATTAAGAACCTGAAAGACCAACCACTAATACACTTGATTAGGGAACTATGAACTCTCTAAGAAATAATATGAAGTGTAGTTGAGTAACACCCACAAGAATGAAAGCTTTATTACAAGTACAAAGATATTATGACTTCTAAAATGAAATATTTGAAAGTTTATAAGAATCTACAATGAACCTTCAATTCAACTTAACATTACTTACTTTCTTCATGTGCACACAAAGCTAATATTCTCAGTATTTGGAAGTAATCACTACTTTCAAACATTGGGTGTGATGTTAACATGACTGAACAGTCATTAGCATGATCTTAATCAAAAAATAAATTTTCATGACTTTGTGATCCTTTTTATCAAAAATGTGAATGTTATGCCATAGGACAAAATATATCTTTCCTCTGCCATTATAATGATTTTAACTGAAAAAAAGTAGTGTTACCTCTTGTCTCGTAACAACTGCAAAACAGTGATCTCCACCAGCAAAAATTCTCTTCACAACACAGTTCTTTGCATGTTTGCTAGGAATTTCTGCCTTCACAACTGAAGATCCACTCGGAGAAACCCAAGGACCAAGAACAACTTGAGGAGTGGTTGCATTCCGAGCTACTCTCGTACCTAATTGACCAGCACCTCCAAGTCCAAATCCATAAATGCGTCCTCTTGAAGGCACCAATGCAAGGGTGTGCCTCCTGAAAATAAACACTAGTTTTTGATATACAGTTCTTCAAACAAAAAGAAAAGAAAAGAAAAGTAATAATTAATAAATAATTAATTAATTAACAAATAAATAAATAAATAGAATTTGTAAAAACTGTAACAATTTTTGTACTAATTTTTTATTCCAGACAATCATGTATTTATTTGCATACTTAAAAATTTAAGTTTTAAATTCAAATGAAGTTTATTAATTCAAAATCACAAGGGTTCTTGGCAGTCTCTCAACAATAGATATGAAACAATGCATGTTCTTCTAGTGCATATTTTATCATTTTAGTAGTGCACACATTTTATATTTTTGTATTTTCATTTTTCATAGATTTGCAATTCATTACAATGTACTGGAGTTCTTTATTTGTATGTATTATTGGACAAATTGTCCATGAATTTAAATAACTAAAGGGAAATAAATAAAGAAAAGGAAAATCTTTTGAAAAGCAAAGCTTCCACTTAAACATTCTGATGCAAAAGGATTTTGAATTAACCTTCCTTTACAAAAAGTTTAAATTGTTTTTGTAAAAATGCTCAGCAGGAAATCAATCTATCAATCACTTTCAAGCACAAACTTTATTCAGAAATTATTTTTTGAAATTTGTTCATGAAGAAACACTCAGTAAATAATAGAACTTGAGAATAATGTTTAGAAACATTAGATTACATCAGTTTATTTTGTTGAAAATGACACCATACCTCCCACATGTGATCTGAGACACTATGCTTCCCATGAGCTCCATGATTTTCCTAGGCAAAAGTTCATTTGTAGTCGTACCATGTCCCAACTGACCATACATTCCAGCACCACATGTAAAAACTCCACCATCCTGAAAAGTTAAAGTATTGTTAACTATATATAATTTCAATTACATTTTAAGAAAGTAATTAATAACAAAAATCAGATTGCCCTTATGCAAAGGCATATCTAGGTATTCAGGCAGCCATGACAAGCAAATAATTTGAGCTCCAGTCCAGATACTTCAAATTACAATTGCTGTTATTTGTTCTAGCGGGTATACTCAAAATAGTGTCCCTTGTGAGTGGCGCCCATGGCGCATACCATTTCAGTCATCCCGTACATATGCCTCTGCCCTTATGCCCAAAAAACCTTTTGTACAATGAAGAACCTTGAAGAAAAATTTGCATAATTAAGTGCACACACAATTACACATGCATAACTGTCATGGAAAGATATGAAGGGTCACGGCCAAACCAAAAGTCTATCATCTCATATTAAAACCAGTCATGAGTTTTAAGGTGACAATTAAGTTCATGTGTAGTTCTTATGGAAATTTTAACTTCAGAAACAAACAGAGTTACTTAAAAACATCCTTAATATCATGATTCTTACTAGAGGTCCACCCAGAAGTAGAAAATCCCTCGTAAGGTTTGCATGGATCAAAGCTAGCCAGTGCAACCAAACTGAACTTACAATATTTATTGTTAATAATTATGTTTCACTTTAATTTTTTAAACTCTTGATCATAAATACACATTCTTATCAAATGTTCCTGTGATGTCTATATTCCAGAAAGCTCTATTTTTTTATGTTCATAATATAAGATAAAATATTTACATAAGTGTTTAAGTAAGCAGCAAAACTGAAATAATACAAAAATAGATGCGAACATTCTACATTTTGTAAATCACAGTGTTCCAAGTGAAAATAACTTCATACTGGATCCTAGCTTTGAGTGGCCAGTCCCTGAACTGTACATTACAGCACTACACGCCCGGGACTGTGTGCGAGTCAACAATATAATATTACTAAGCACTGGCATTAAATTTTACAGATAATCAAAAGGTCACTTTCATTTCAACATTAAACATTATTTCTGTCTCAATACTTCAATTTAATTTCACATAGATTTCAAGTTTCTGCTCATTCTGAGCACCAACACAATGGAGTAGAGGTCCCCAGAGAGCTAAATCTCCAAAAATTTAGTTGAAAGTTCAAGAAGGTATTCATGTGTAGAATACTGCTTAAGCCACATAATTTGAGCCTCACCTGCCCTTCCCTGTTACCTGCCATTTTCCCATCTGTTTCCCAAAACTCATGTTCCAACACTGAAGATGGATGTAATAAGAACAAAGCCAGGCTGAAAAGAAATTCAGGCAAATGAAGTGGGCAAACGAGAATGTGTAGCAGGCTCCTATTTTGTCACCTCACTTCTCTATGTGCTTCTACCTTACAGTATCACTCTTGTTCTACAAACACACCTACAATCATTTACGGACACCCTCTGACTTTCTAACAGTTGGTGCAGTATGGAATCAAGTATTCAATACATTTAAAAAAGTACAATAATTGAATATTTAATAGCTGAAAAAGTGAACGCTATCATAGATTTGATGGTGATAAAGAAATCATAGATTTCAGGTAGAGAAATCATAGATTATATGGTGATAAAATTGTTGAATGAAGTAGTGTGACTGATGACAAGCACAAAAAAAGTAAATGAATAAAATGGTAATTGAAATGAATCAAAGTTACTGTTGCATTACGAGTGTTGCATCGAGGGGGGGGGTATATATTCCCTTTGGGGTACATATATAGCCTATGTACATACATATATTGCATATCCTGCTTTTGATCCAAATCAATTGACATATAATAATTTTTAAAATAAAAAAAAAAGATCAATAGATTTATTTCTGCAGGAGAAGGCAGTACAGAGAAGAGTATACTTTTATATTGAAAGTGCAAACTGAAGCAATGAAGGAATATAATGCAATAGTATCTGCCTTGTATTTCCTATAAATATAAAGGCAAATATCAAGAAACCCCTAATTAGATGATACAGGTGATTATAATGCAAAATATTCTAACAGTGTGCAATTACTAAAAACTGGCCTGTAATAAGCAATAGAAATGTGACTGTTAGATGTCACTCACTGCATTACCAGCAAGCCTTACAAATGATTTAAGTGAAAACTAATTGTTTGTGAGCAATAAATTTAAATTTTAAATAAGCAGATAGTTCTTCACAAATGAAATTCATATACCTTTGTTAAAAAGACAGAAAAGTCTTCACCACATGTTATGTATTTCACTTTGATGGACCTTAGAGTTTTCAACTGACAGGGAAATACTCTGTTGCTGTTATCATTTAAACCCAACTGTCCATATTCATTCTTCCCCCAGCCAAAAACAGCTCCTATAAAGCAATAAAAACAAATTAAATGATTAGGCAAGAGATGCAAGTGTTTGCTGAAATTTGAATATCCTAAAACACTGTACTCACCAGATTTTGACACTGCAAGACTATGACTGCCTCCACAAGCAATGTGAGCAATAGGAATGCCTCTTAATGACCTAATCAAAGTTGGCTTTCTTTCTACTGAGGAATAACGTCCTATTCCCAATTGTCCATACTCATTACTTCCCCAAGAATAAATATCCCCATCTGCAAAGATATATTTTTTAATTACATAAAATCAAAAGTAAATCAGTGGAGCTACAACAGCATAAACTTTCTCACAATTTTGTAATGTTTGCAATTTTTTAAAATTCAGAGAGCTCAATGTAAATTGGACATACACTAATTTTATAAGCCCATTTCTCACTATCTGAGAAAAAATTTGGAACTATTTTTGCAAAAATATTGTTTTTAAAATTGCCTTTATTTCATGCAAAATTATGTGAAAACTATTCATATTTTTAAAAAATTGCACATGACCTTACTTAAAGATATAATTTGGAAGGCCAAATTTCATTAAGAAAAGATCACCACCTTCAATATTGTGGTTGTACAATGACTCCAAAATAAATTTGAACTTTTTTAAGGACGAAAATTCAGAGTTCAATGAAAATGAGACCTGTTTTATTTTTATAAACATACTTTGGTCCCTCTGAGAAAAAAAATTGGAGCCACTTTACAGAAAAGTTTTTAAATGTCTTTGAGGCTTCATGAAAAGTAACTCCACCCAAAAATCAAAATATCCATTTTAAATTCAAGTGGCCACAGCATTGCTTACATCAATCAGGGAATATTAATTTTGGTGAAAATCCTGCTTATGCTACATAAGTAGTATGGAAGAAAGTTAAAGGAGGATACCTGGGCCTCTGTGCAAATTACAAGTAAAACTTTATGGATACAAGAAAAGAAAATTTGTAAGCTAAAATGATATATTTTGTAGAGTAAAGAATAGTTTGATGTATTCATTTTACATATTCCATTGGGTTCTCAGATAAGGTTCCCACCATTAACTACAAAGCAAAAAATAATTAACATGTAACAAAATAAGAAACGAAAACTCTTGATAATTGTGTCTCCACTAGAGTGCACGAGCAGCTGATCCACAACTAAACATGAAAATTATATTCACTAATATCTGAAGTGGGGTAACTATTTGAATAATATTATTGTCAATTAAAATATAATAGGATTTCTGTTTCGTGTGAATAAATACAAGCTAGGGATTAACACTAGGAAGCCTACAATTCTGTTCCTACCTACTCTGGCCCAAGGGTGTCATTACAGCACAATATTTTCATATGGTTGCTGTGATGGTAACTGAATATTTATATAGTAATTTCTATTGCTGTCTTAATAATAGACAGTATTTCTGTCTTACAGTTTGAGTATTACAGTCTTAATAATCCCTATACATAAAAATGGATGTTAGTATATTTAAAAGCGGTAAACTCAGACACTGTCTGATCGATCTCCATGAAAGATAGCATATTTACGTGAAAGTTAGCATATTCCTTGTGAGAGAGAGGGAGAGGGGAGAAAGAGGGAGAGGGGAGAGAGAGGGAGGGAGAGGGGAGAGAGAGGGAGGGAGAGGGGAGAGAGAGGGAGGGAGAGGGGAGTGATCTCTCTCATGGCTCTGCTGTCTCTCTCTCTCTGTCACTCTCTCTCTGTCACTCTCTCCCTGTCTTGTCACTCTCTCTCTGTCTGTCACTCTCTCTCTGTCTGTCACTCTCTCTCTCTGTCTGTCACTCTCTCTCTGTCACTGATTCTCTGTCACTCTCTCTCGTCTTGTCACTCTGATTCTCGCCCTTTCTATCACTCTAATTCTCTCCCTTTCTGTCACTCTAATTTCTCTCCCTTCTATCACTGTTGATTCTCTCCCTTTCTATATTGTTTGATTCTCTCCCTTTCTATTATTGTTGATTCTCTCCCTTTCTATTATTGTTGATTCTCTCCCTTTCTATTACTGTTGATTCTCTCCCTCTCTTCACTCTTGATCTCTCCCTTTCAATCAATTCTTGATTCTCTCTTTCACTCTGATACTCTCTCCCTGTCTCTTACGTTATGCGTGCTCTCTCTTCCTCTCCCTCTCCCTCTTTCCCACTCTCCCCTCCCTTTCTCTCCCCTCTCCTCTCCTCTCCTCCCCTCCTCCCTCTTCCCTCCCCCTCTCTCCTCTCCCTCCCTTCTCTCCCCTCTCCCTCCCCTCCTCCCCTCTCCCTCCCTCTTCTCTCCCCTCTCCCTCCCCCTCTTCTCTCCCTTCTCCCTCCCTCTCTCTCCCCTCTCCTCCCCTCCTCCCTCCCCTCTCCCCCCTCTCCCTCATCTCCCTCCTCTCTCTCCTCCCCTCTCCCTCCCTCTCTCCCCCTCTCCCCCCTCTCTCTCCCTCCTCTCTCCCTCCCTCTCTCTCCTCCCTCTCTCCTCTCTCCCTCCTCCTTTTCCCTCCTCTCTCCCCTCTCCTCCCTCTCTCTCCCCTCTCCCTCTCCCCTCTCCCCCCCTCCCTCTCTCCCCTCTCCCCTCCCCTTCTCTCTCCCCTCTCCCTCCCTCTCTCTCCCTTCCCTTCCCTCTCTCAACCCTCTCCCTCCCTCTCT